ACGACGACACAGAAAACGCTGACTAGACCAACAATAGAAAGCATGGGGATTTTTGTTTCCTGACATGCACAATGTGTGTCTTGTATGCTGTAAAAAGCTGCGGGACACAGCCTTTTCATTATATGACATCTTATTGACCACTTTCTTCCTGTGCATTTCTCCCCTTTCTCCTCTTTTACCAGTTATTTAATTCTTTTTTTTTTTTTCCTCTTTGTATTAGTGTCCATAGTTACAATCCAATATACCAAAAATGATAACAGGAGGTCAAGCCTTCTGGTTAACTCAACATCACATGCAGTTATAAGGTGATGTTTTGTGTAGATGGCCTTTTCATAGGATTCGATCCTTTATTTACTCAGGTATTACTCAGTCTCACTGGTATCCAGACTTCCCTGTTTGACTGACCTTCTTGTCTGCTGTCCTAGACCAGTGTCCCATGATATATTTCCTCTCTCCTCCCTTGCACATTCCTCTTCTTGGGCGCAACAAGCTGCCATTTCCATGCTGCTGTACATGATCGATTTGCTTGTCCTCAATTGTTCTAAATCTGTGCTGGTGGGAACTGACTGCAGCTCCCACTTACAGTCCTGGAGGGTGTTGATTCAATAGGGTTGGGCGTCAGCCTTTCTAAAAACAAGCTGGGTGGTGGTTGAAAACCAGCTGGGTGGCGATAGGCCAGAGGACAGCACCTGCTGTTCCCCGCTCTCTTGTCAGTATGCCCACGGGCTTGGCTGAAGCATACACCAAAACCTCCGGTCAAATAACAAGGGTTGCTGGAACAGCAGCTCTCTGTTTCAGGGAAAACATCCCTCAGGGTTAGGCAGCTAACAACTGTTCCATTTCCATCAAAGGTGATGGAGGGGGTGGGAGGAAAAAATAACCCGCAATATTACGGTCTTATCAGCGTCGCTTTGCAATTTGGCATTGTGTTTCTCTCCAGGTGTGCGCTCCTCTTGCGTGAAGGAGAGATTACTTAGCTAGAGCTTCTGAGTACCTCCTCACAGGTTGTACAGCTTGAGTTCAAAATATAATAAGTTTATCTTAGGTTGTTTCCCCCCAACACCTGCTTTCTTCCACCCCGACTGTCTGAATGCCAGGAGCCTCTTCCTTCTGCCTGCAACCTGTAGTTCTGCCCCTTTCTCCATGAGCTATTCAATGTGAAGTACGCAGAATGTAACTATAGTAAGGAGGAGATCAGAGATGCATCTTTGTGGCTTTGAGACTTTGTTTTCACTTGCTTCTGAGAGAAAAATGAGTAGTGATTCTAAGGAAGCTGAATTCAGGCGGTTACCTGTACATGGATGCCCAAAGAATTCTCTTTTCGATAGTGCTGGGAACTGCTGTTGGCGCTGCTAGCGAGCACGTTCTGTGCCTTTCCCGATCACAGCGATGCCGTGCCAGCCGTGCTGGGGGGGATGTGGAATCCTGCAGCTCAGAGCTCGCTAGCGAGGCTCTATAAGCTGCAACAGAAAGTTTTGATCTGTGTTCCTTACCCTTCTAAGTCACTGTTGTGTTGTCCTAAGGTCAGAGTCCTCCTCTGAAGTGAATGAACCATTTAGCTTCCCTTTGTATGGAGGCTGAGCCCCTGGCTGTGCAGCAAGAGTAGGAATGGACGTCTCTTCTCTTGATAGGCTTTCTCCAACTCAGCTCAGTTGTAACTACTGAGATCTCACAACTTCTGGGAGTCCCACTGGGTGAGACCCCACGTGCGTGGCACCACATGGGAAAAGGGGCAAGGGAGAGTGGCTCCTGCAGCCTGTGATCACATGGCACCATGTAGGAGCCGCATGGAGAATGGTTGTGTCTGATGGGACTCCATAGGGACTGAGGTTTCATTTGAAGGTCTGCCCTCCTTTTCTATGGCTACAGCACAGTGGAGGCATTTCTTACACTTAAGGAACCCCATTGGCACAGCTTGACTGGCAGTTCATAGGTCAGGCCAGCTGCTGGTCCCTTAGTGAGGTGTGTGGGGAGGGATTTTTTCCCCCCAGAATGCAGGCAGGTTAGGGACAGTTTGCATCAGAGAGTTGAATCCTCACAGTGGGTGGTGATGCAAGTGAAAGGTTTGGCTTTTCACACTTGCCCAGAATGATTGAAGAGTAGGAGTATTGGAGAAGAGGGGGCAGATGGCAGTCACAGCAGGGCTGGCAGGGGAAGTGGCTGAGCGCTGTAAGAAAGAAAAGTAAATGTTCTTATAAACAGAACCAGCTGCTGAGCTATGCTGGGGATTGCAAGGCCGTTTATTTTTGAAGTAATCTTCAACTGACCAGGCTTGCATTTGTGAGAATCTTTGTAGCTGGTCAGAGTGCCATTAGTGTTAGTATGAATAAATGTTTACGAGAATGGTTGTGTTAGAAGTGCTCTTTCAGCTGTTCTGAATGAAAAGTTGTGTTTTTAATTATTCATACAATAGATTAATCTGACACTCACAGGTGGCCCTGGATAACTGGCAGGCAAGAAAGCTGAATGGTGTGCTGCTGATTTATGCAGCATAGGCCATCAGTCAGGGACTGGAAACACCATCAGGTGACCGTTCAGAGGAACAATGGAGCAAAATCTCTCCAATTTTAAATGTCTCTGTTTCAACTCCAAACCTTTCCTTCAATCTTCTTTTTTCATACACACTCTACCCACTCCTACCCTTGTTTGCTAGCTATTAGAATTCCTTGTATAATGCTTTTCTTCATCTAAGAGACTGCTTGGAGCAAAGCATATGTGGGGAGAAGAGACAAGGAAGAAAGAGTAGGAATATAGCTGTTTACGTTGGGAAAAGAGGTGCCTAATTAGTTTTTTGGCTACAGAGATTTCATGTCTTACATAAAAGTTCCTGGGAGCGGAAGAATTCAGTCATTGTTTCATAGGAAGGTTGTTTTTTTTTTCTTCCCCTCCATGCCGAGTTATGGGACACTCTCTTCTTCCATTGTCCTAGGCTCCAATCCAGAACATGCTGCATTGTGTGGCAGGGAGGTTGGTAGGGCTGCAGGGAATGGGATTAAGAATTCTCCTGGGGGAAACCCTAATCTTCCTGGCATGGTTGGGGTTTAAAGGTCTCATCTGAGCATCACAGAGGCCAGCAGGAGTGTTTCTGCTGTTTTCAGCAGCCTTTAGATGATACTATTAAAGGTGGTCCTTGCTATATAGCCAGTGATCTCAAGTATGCACGTGAAGGGAGTGTCCCTTTTTCAGTTAGTAGTTTCCAGATTCATTGTAGACTAGGCAATCAGCAAGACTGTAATGTCTACCTAGTGCTTTCAGTGAATAGTTTGATGATAAACTGTATGTTGGTCCTTGGGCTGACCGGTCTGAGGGTTCAGAAATTTGGAAACTGTTGATCTAGATCTAGTCTGAAGTGGTGTGGTCTCAGGGGACCTGTGCAAGTGAGGAAAGGACACAAGCACTGGCGATTGCTTCTTTGCTCACAGACTTCTCAGCCTTTCTTTGTGTTTGCGTTGCTAGTAAAGATTTTCTTACGTTTAATATAAACGAATGAATACCAACCCTTTGTTCATATAGCCATTAGTATTGTCAGCTGAATGTCTTGAGGTGATGCAAGTAGGCAGCCCCTTGATAAGCTAGTATATTAGGCCTGTTCGTAAGTAGAGTATTAACATAGCACTGCAGAATGGAAATTTCTGGTCTGCTGGTACATTTTTGGCTCCACTTCATTACAAGTGACTCCTTTTAGATATGAAGGAAGCATTAGGGTCCAAAGTCTACAAAGCTGAGTATTAAAATAGTGCATTTCAGTTATGTCCGCAGTACTTGCGTTTAAAAAAAATTGGATTCCAAACAAAACCCCATCTCCTCAAAACAAAGTAACGTTATGCCTGACAATGAATTGCCTTGTAATGGAAGTTGCCAAAAGTAGGATTTTTCAGGTAGTGCAATGCTGTCTGGTTCTTAATCAGAAATGGCTGTGGCTTATGGCTGACAGGATCTGCATACTATCTTGTACACAAATGAGGCCTTCCTGTAGGCTCTGTATCTTTCAAGCATTAGCTGTAGCTTTCATCTGTCCCTGATTTAGACCCTTGCAGATATTTACAGCCTACGGGTCTTAGTTTTTTCTGCTTACAGAGAGTGAGTGATGTTAATGAGAGTTTAAGTTTTTAGTGAGAAGAAGGCTATCTTGTAATAGATGAATTCACTTATTTTTGGTTAGAAATTGTCATTGAAGGTGATTTTAAAGGTACTGAAGCTTTATGTATTTTTATTAGGCTTAGATCTGTGTCGTCAATTGGGAAGGCAGGTTGGGAGAACAACAGTTTGTCCTGTAATAGGAGAAACAGACTGAATGTATTTTACCATTTTGGAGGCTCATTCTGAGATGTGGCAAGTGCTTTCTGTGCCGATTAAGACCTGTGGTGCAAAATGCTATGCATCTCCAATAGAATGGTATCCTTGCAAAAGATACAGAATATGCCTACTGCTGCAGGTCCTGCAGTGTTTTGGATTGAAATCTGGGTGCTGAATTTGCTACCTCCTTCCTGTGACGACCGAACTGCAAGTGGCAGCTGAATTCAGCGTACAGTGAGGTGCTTTCTCGTTTTACTCTCTCAGTGTTTTAAAACAAGTAGAATTTGCTCAGGTTTAAAACACTGTATAGCAAAACTGGACATGGGCAAATTCAGACGAAGACCCTTGTTAGACCTATCAGTGTACTGCCAGGATGGTAAGTAAGTAGTTAGTTGGTCCAACATGTGTATTTAAGATTGCATGACTGGGGAGGGAAGTATGAAAATAAGATAGAGGGTCCTTTAATCACCTTAAACATCTGGAAATGATTTGGGGTGGATGGCTAAACAAAAAGAAAACTTTTCTGGAAACAGTATGGGAACTAAGGTCTGATCATCTGTCCTCATATGTCCTCCTTTCTGTGAATGTTTGGTGTGAAAGCCCTTTTATGAATGGCTCACTTACAGATAAGTATGACAGGGTTAACCTTTTTGAAGCGAGTATAGTGGGAATGCCTGCAATTCTCAAGCTACCTTCTTTTGCAGCTGGAAGAAGGAGAACGCTTTGCTAAAATGGTGATAGACCTGGGCGAGGATGCTGGAGAGTCCCTAGCAAAGGGTTACCTGGCACTGGGTCTGACATACAGTCTTCAAGCTACTGATGGTGAGTTACCATGTTTATCAAATATGTTGTAGGATGCATTCATTCTTCAAGCGATAGAAACGTATGAGAAACTTCTAGCAGTGACTAGACAAGAAAAATAATCAGATGGCAAAGCAAATAGGGACTATTCACTTTCCTACAGAAAACCATCTTCTTTGGTAATAAAAGTGGAATTTTTAGGTAAAGTAAAAGCCCAGATCTCTGCTTAGGAGATGTCAGTCTTACTGTAGCCAGCAGTTCTTCATATGCTTTGCTTGAATATTTTTAACACGTTTCTTTCACTTATTTACGGAACTTTCCATCTATTTTCATATTTTTGTTACCCACTCATAAATCACATAAGGAAGTACAGTCCCAAGAGCTGGAGCCAGATATGCCTGACTTCAGTTCTTGGCGTGATACTGATTCCCCAGAGAGAGCCAGCCTCTCTGTAATGCCTTACCTTTCTCTGCTTAGAAATAAACAAGATAAAAATATCTACCCCACTGGTACCTATGGATGTTGAGAGAAACCGCTGAATGCAACGATTGGGTTTTTTTTTAATGCTGATTGCTTGGCTTTTGAGTGACTGGACAATGCAGATTTGGTGTTTGGTAGAAGATCTTGAAGTCCCAGTGTTTGGGAGAGTTCTGGACCTGACCTTCATCAAGCTCACAGCTGGGAACAGCCTTTAGCCTTTATTTTCTCTGTGACTCTAACATGGGCCTTCTAACATAATTTCTTTTAACAATGACTGAACTACTTTTTTTCCTGGTCAGTTTGGTAGTCCTTCCCCTGTGCAAGCAAGTTTCTCTATCAAGTGTTTCCATAGGAACATACCAACGTACTGCAGCAAATGAGCCTGAAACAAAGCTCAAGTGATGACTTGCATGGAATCATGGAAGTACACTGGCTTTACAAGTCACAGCAATCATCTGCAAGGCATGTAATTGAGGAAGTGGCTTGTGCTCCTCAGTAGTGCAAGTCACTATTTTTTCAGCCAGGCGGTTCTCTTCAATTCTCCTTTTCACTGCCTCAGAATAGTTCCTCCTAAGAAGTTCACGTCAATCAATGTATGTCCTTTCCAGCCTGAACCTTTTTTTTTTTTTTTTTTAAATTCATTAAACGCTGGGTTCTGCTTAACAGCTTAGTTCCTTTGGGCATTTTCTCTAGATTTTGTTTAAACTGTCTCTAAAGCTGTACAAAATCCCAGAGACTATTTTCAGAGATGGAAGGTTTTGGGTCTTAACCCCCATTACAAATTATTTATTGCCCCCTGTAGGAAAATTTTGTTAGGTGTCTAAAGAATGGAGTTGTAGAGGTATGTATTGTACTGTGGTTCTAAAAGCACTTTGGCCGAGTAGGATATGAGTCATAAGCTTTTTTCTTCTGGAAGATAAGTCTTCCTTGAGTTTTCAAGAGATTAGTTGGGATGTCATAATAAGTGTTCCTTTTAATATGAAGTACACAGTCTTCACAACAATTGCCTTGGGTTTTTATCCAGATTAGCATCTGATTTATGTTGTGAAGCAGTGAAGTATCTGCTTCCTCTTCCTCCTATCTCTAGTCTTTGATTCAGTATGTCTGGTTACTCAGTTATTTAGGGGAAACTTAAAAGAGTATGTTTCCATCTTTCCAGTTATATTTTAATAAACTAGATTAAGTCTTTCAAAAGCTTACTTATGATGCTTATGAACATGGAACAGCATTTTACCAGAGAGCATCTCACCAAACATGCACTTAGAAGATATTTTCATTAGTGTTTAAAAAAAAAAAAAAAAAGTAGTTTATCACAGTGAGGAAGTGGGAGTTGAACATGTTGAAAGGAAGATAGCAAACCCCTGTGTAATTCTACTTCAACAGATAAATGTCAGTATTGTTTATACAAGTTTATTGTTATGTATGCAGACACACAATCGGAAATCTGTGTATATGTGATTTACATAACTTCAAATTTAAACTTGATTTTGAGTGACTCAGCATTTTCAGTGGTACTTATTTGTTTCAGTTGTTTGACCAATCTTCTTGTAAAACTTACAACAGTGTATCCAGATGCCTTCCAACTAAGGTTGTGCTTTCTCTTTTTAATATGTACTTTTAGTAAATATCTAGCATCATCCCATTGGATAAAGGCATTGAAGTGTTGTGTTGAAATCTTTCCCTGTGACCACTTTTTAGCAAGTGCTTTCTGCAAAATTCAGAAGAGAAAATCCTACTGAGTGACAATTTAAAGAACTTGTGGGTACCTTTGGTAAAACAGTCCCTTTACAACTGTTGGATTTACTCCTGGATGAAATAAGATTGCTCGAAACATGTTCTGTGTACCAATAGGTAGTGTCCTCATTGTCAGTCAATGTCTAATTACATGTTTCGTGAGACAGGTCTCACTGAAGTAGCTGAAAGATGTGTCCTCAGAGGAGGTCATTGCCGCTTTTGCTTTACTCTTAGAAGCCAAAAGTCTCATGTTGGTTAAGGATGTCCATCTTTTACCATGCTAGATTTTCTGTACACGTCCCAAACCTGTTCCCAATGGGGCAGTTCAACGTGAAACCCTTCTTTTCCTCTTGCAGTTCCAGTTTTGACACAAGCTGTATTGACAACTTTGCCTCCCTTAGGTGTCGTGAAGACAGGCGAAGGTGAGATGAATTTAACAAAGATTAAAGAGGAAAGACCAGACTCAGATTGCATTGTGAAATACAAGTGCTCTTCTTGTCTAACATCACCACCTCTCGTCTAATTGTTAAATCTTTGTAGATGTAATAGACCCTCGTACTCTTGACAGAGGTGAGAGAGAGAGAGCGAGTATGCTGCATCCCTATTTTCATTTAGACCGTTAGTATAAGAAAGCAGATAAGAGACAGAACTGGAAATTTTTTTTAGCAGTTCTTGTAGATTTTATATATAATCAATACACAGAGATCACCAGTTAATGTTACAAAACCTGTAGACATAGCTCATTAGTGAACAAGTGCATCTTTTTTTTTTTGCCTCTGGGGATCAGCAATCAATACATGCAATTTCTAATTGTAATTCAGGGTGCAAAACTGTAGGACTGTAGTATTAGTCCTCTTAACTTAATTATGTTGTGGTTCACATCGTGGAACAGTTCTGGAGTACATGAACTGAATCGTTTTTCGTAACACTAAACCAGAAGCTGTGCTACAAAAAGACCCCTGATGTTGTGTAGCTGCTAATAAGTGTTCGGACCATGGGACAAGACTAAGTTCTAGTCTGAATTCACCCCTCTCGCCATGTATGTAGTGTTGATGCTGGTCCACAGCATTAACTCTTTCACTTCATGTGTTAGGTCCTACTGTGCCACAGCACTCACTGACAGAAAGCTTACCTCTCTCTGTTTTCAAATATGACTCCAGGGCTTTATTTTTGGGGATGGGGGCGGGGTACCAAAATGTTGGAAATTTTGTTGACTTTTGGTAAGGCTTAAGGTCCTTTTAAAACCCAGAGTGCTTTAGAAAATAAATCTTGTGAGCTGCAAAGAGAACGTTTGCAGAAGTGCTGTGTTTTATAGGTGTGTCAGCTGATGTTTCAGAAACTTTAACTCCCTGGTGCTCTCTGCCTTACTCGACTCAGACTCTGCTGCACAGGTTATTTTAATATAAGTCATAAGCAGTCATCCTGCCTTTTAGTTGGTAGAGCTGTAGCAGCCATGCTTATAGTAGGTAAAGCTGAGTAGATGCTGAAGAATTCATTAGTGCTGTCAACCTCAGAGAAGGGAGCACAACTTGTTTCCCAGTCATGTGGAGGCAAAGTTGACTGTAGTTAATAGAATAATCACTGTCATTTCCACAACGTTTTTTGTGCTGTTACTCTCTGGCTACAAGTTGAACAGCCATTAGTCAGAAGTCTTATCAGGCAGAAAGTTGTCCTAACTTTTCCTTTTTGTTTTCTTGGTTGGGGGGGAAGGGGAGAGACAGTAAAATCTCTTTCTGCCTTCCTCATTGTATGGCATCTCCAACAGTGTTCTGTAACTTACATAGGGAATCTTGTCGTTTCCATAAGGTCAAAATCTGACATATTTCTCTGGATGAATGTTTACAGTTACGATCAAATCCTCTCCAGTATCTCCTCAAGCATTTTTATGTGAATGTCAGTCTCGATTATTTTAATTTTTTCTGTAAGTTTTCCTCCTCTGTTACTTCTTTTCAGTATATGGTGGTGGACCTGAAGATTCAATTTAAGGCTACTGAGAGTGAAATGTTACCAGCTACTACCTTAAAGGCTGAATTTTGCATGAAGAAGGCCCATGTCTTCAAATTCATTCTTTAAACTGCATGGTTTTTTGCTCATTTTTTACTCTTTGGACTTTATGGCATAAGCAATTTTTGATCTTTGTGTTTCGGGAAATCCTGAATATTGCTGTTCCTCCCAAATGAAACTGATGTTTTGAAAAGCCCTTGGAAGGCTTAGCGATAAGAAGGGACTGATCACTATAACCACTTTGGCAAAAATAAATTCATTTCAAAGTCTCACATCCAAAGAAATTGATTCTGTGTGTGACTTCTCCGCCTTCTCAATAAATTATAAGAATGCTTGAATTTTATCAGGTTTTGTTGCTTTAATATATACTACTCAGTCACTTTGTTTTCTGGAGCTTCCATTCACTTGAGGCATGAAATGAAGTAAATTCAGAGGTGGATGTTCGCTGCTGGATTATCTACTCATTACTACTTTGTACTATTGATCAGTAGCTCTCAAATTCAGGATAGGTAGAACAAGAAGCAACTGCTATGTAAAATCTGAAAAGCAAGAAACAGAAGGAGCTAGCCCATGTACTTGCAAAGAGTATTGCTAGCTTTCCAGAATATTCTAGAGCTTAGAAAAACATGCTTCTTGAAGCTATTCCTCTATTTTCCTTGCTCCTGATGATGATATCTTATGACATCCCTGTGCTGTCATATCAAGAATTTGAAGAGTCTTCTCATCATGACACTTTTATGGTTTTGGCTAGGAATTATTTCACATATTAAGAAGTGAGTCTAGTTGGCAGGATCCTTCGTTAAGGAACTGGCGATAGCCAAGCAGGCATTATAGTGGCTAATGCTAGACCTGAAGCAGCCTAAAAGTTTGCTGTAGTCTTAACAGAGGTGCTGTGTTGCAACAGCGTTTGCCGTAGGGCTGTAAATTTGTCCCTCTTCAACCTGCTACCCCCTCCTACATGAAGACAGCGGTGGAGACAGGCTGTACTTGTATCTGAGTCAGAATACACTGGTGGTTGCTGCCTTTAGCATATATACCAACTTGGCAAAGAGATTGTTATGTTCTTAGTGTATGCCCTTCTCTTCCCAGACCCCTTCAGTGGCATATGTTAATAAAAATATTTAAGCACATCAGGCAAGAAAATTAGGAGTTTTTAAATAAGAAAAATAACATTACTTGGAAAAAATGCAATAAAATACTGTTTTGTGCTATATTTAAGCACATCAGGCAAGAAAATTAAGAGTTTGGCATGTTTTCCAGCCGCGAATATAAGTACCACTGTTTTTTTTTTGACTGTTTTTATGAGCCTCATTTGAAATGATGTGCAGATGTGTAACTATTTGATTTATTTAACCTGAGAGATTGAATTCAACTCTTAAATGACATTGAGTCTTACCCTACAGCTCCTCTGAAAGGCACTCAGGATGAATTAAACAAGAAAGCACTTCAGACTTTGGAGAGGTGAGTAGGAATCTTGCTGATACTTGCATTATTTATTTGTTTGGATGAATCCAATGTAATTATTTTCTAAATATTTTATTTTCTGCACAAGCTTCCATGCCTAAAAATTTTTAAAACAGTTCCATAGATTGCAGCAATAGTCTGTCAAAACCATTCGATGATTTTGATATCAAAATGCAGTAATTCTGTGGTTTGAATGTCCAAAGTAAGTTTCAGAAAGTACCTTATTTTATCACTAAAGAAACAAAACTTAAGCCGCAGTGAGATCTATGGTGCTGGGAGAAGCAGCTCCATCACAAAGCGTCAGCAGGAGAATGTGGAGTATTAGTTTTGTTTCCGTTCCTGTCTCAAGTAGTCTTGAACCCATGTTTCCCTCATGGCGTGAGAATACCTTCACCACCGTGGTGTCAGGTGCTGTGGGGTGAAACAGACTCAGTTTCTCCTTTTGAAGATGATGTATTTTGCGTCTAGTCCAGGGAATCTGCTTTTTGTTTTTATTTTTTGCAACGAGTATGACTCTATAACCTAGCTTTCCTGGGAGGGGAGGAGACCTGGGTCCCAATTGCTGTACTAATGAATGCTTGTATGAACTGTCCTATGAGAGGGGAGCTAGCAGTAAAAGGAGTTACCACTCCTATTCTTTGCTGCTGTGTTTTGTGAGGCGTCTGATTCCATATGCCCTGGAGGTATCTGTGAATTACCTCAAGTAAAACTCCTTAGGTAATGTCAGGTTAAACACCTTGTCTGTGAATTCTGATGTAGTAGAGAGGCGAGGTGGGAGCTTCCTGACCCTGTTGCGACTAAGTCCCGCCACCGAAAAAGCACTAGATGTTTGGGCAGTTAACAGTGTAAACGTAGGTGCCTATAGGCTTCAGATGGCAAGTAAGTGGAAGCTTTGGTGGTCTAAGTCTTGGGCCTAAGGTATCTAATTCGGTTTTTGGTATAGGCAAAAACGCGTTACCAAAAGTGAAGAAAAATTGAGTTCCCTGGTATCTAAAAGTTTTAAGAAGAAGAATCTCATATGTTCAGTGGCATTGTACAGATGTAGCAGGTTGAACATGTTACTGGATCTTAGCTGTTTTCCTGATGCTGAGCATGTTTGTACTGTGCCGGCTTTGCCGTGGTCACAGGAGCATGTGGTAGTGGAACTTATTTTTGTCAAGCTGAAACTGCAGATGTGATTGTGATTCTGGATGTTTACCCCATGGGGATCTGATGGATTTAAAAAAAAAAAAAAAAAAGCCATTTATACAGTCACTTTTCAGAGCAGGAGTATTCTTTAAGTAATACAAGTTCCTGGACTCCAGTGTGATATCTTCATTACTGCATAATTTCAATGTAATTGCAGTGCTGCATTGCTTTCAGACTGCATTTATTTTTATCCTTTGACCTTTCCCACTGGCTGTGACTTATTTTCTTGCTATCTTAACTCTAGCCAGGAAGCAGGCAAGCTTCTAGCCGAACGTTAGGTATGCAAACCTCAGCCAACAGGGATATCATGATAGCGAGCTGGTGAGCTGGTTACTAGTGTCTTCCTATGTGCCTAGGTTGGTTGGTTTCTTTGTTTTTAAACCCTCTTTTTAAAGTACATGTAGAATGTCTCAAACCATGGTTTGGCCTGTAGCCATCCTTTATTATAAGTAGCTGGCTTTTCAGCTGGAAGCTTGGATCAAATATTTTTCTAATGCCTTTAGAGGAAGCTGAACAGTAAAGCAACAACCCTTTGTCTCTTTTCGAAAGCACTGTTAATCTCTGCTCCCATGCACACATGTGAACTTTCCCCTTTTATTTGTTGTTGGAGAGGCTATTGAAGGTTTCACAGGAGCTGCTTCAGAAAGAAGGTCTGAAGAAAAATAAAAAAGAGAGAGAGAGAGAGAGAGAGAAAAGGGGGGGATAAAATCAGTGACTTGCTTACTAATTAATTGCACCTTTATGCCTTCAGTGCTACTTCAGAATCCTTTGAGTGATATCTTGACTTGTAGAAATATGGGACACACTCAGTCCGTATGAAACTAATTCTGTTTTTTTTTTTTTTTTAAATTAGTGAATGAATAGTTTTCACGGGATTTTTAAACCCCATCATTGTCAGCCTCTTACTTCTCTGCCATAAAGTCTTTAACCATACTTAGTTTGTGCAGGGCATTGCAGTTGCAGTCTTCTCTGTCACGGGATGCGGCCTAGAATGAGGTCGGGAACGTCTCTTTGGTATGAGGGACCTTCCTCTTCCCCTCCTCTCCCTTTTGAAAAGGCTTTACTGTGAAACAGAGCCAGGGGTGAGCTCCCTGAGTCAGCAACTCACTCCACGGATCAGCAAGAGGATAGTCCGCTGCTCCCTCAGTTAGGTTGCCTGTGTGGCACGAGCCAGTGCCCCACAGAGCTCCAGCTGAAGTCCCCAAAGCACTGTCTTTGTGTTAGCCTGGCTCAGGACTTCTCCACAGGCTAGTTAGCTCAGGATGCAGTTTCATGCTTAGCGTAGGCTGAGGAAAGTGGGGGTTGCTGAGAGGGATTATTCTGCCTTTGTTACCCCTGCCTTGTACTAGCCTTCTTGAAGGACTTCTGCATCTGGTCCTGGTGATACTGCATTCTCCACTAGTCAAGGGATATCTGCAGTGTTCACCACTGCCTGCTGTGGACTGGAGGGTAACATTTGAGAGGCCTAAGGACAGGGGTAAGGTGGTCTATTAGGAGAAGCCTAACCTTGAGAAGCAAGGACCCTTGTTTCTGGTCCAGGCTCAGCTCCTGGCCATCAAGTCCTCACTCTTCCCTTGGCATGTACTCCTTCCAAGTTAAGAGTCTGCTGTCAACGGTTAGACTAGATGCTGTGCGATGGGGGATCGTTTTGCGTGTTTGGGCACTATTTAGCATCATGCACGCTTGATCTTAATCCTCGAGATGGTTGTCATCCCAATAACAGCAAAAATGATTACTTTTTCAGACCTAGCCCAACCTTCTACAATTGTTTGAAATCTGCAGTATAGAAGCGAGATAGACACCTGTCTTCCTTGTCCTAAATTACTTAAAACAATGCCTTACATGGTTTGTATCATGAGTTAAGAGCTACTTTCTCCCTATCAGATATTGAAGTCCCGAAACGTTAAATGTGATTTAATGAAGGAGCATTGAAGTCGTATAAAATCCTGACAGTTGTGTGTGTTATACCTCTTCCAGCTTTTGTAAGCCTTGCTTAGCCAGCAGAGCATTGATGGGTTTCCGTGTGCTCCCCTACTAGTGGGCTAGACTCCTGTATAAAAACACTGGGTTTAGTTCTGTGCTTGTGCATGACTTGGCAAGGGGGTTCTGGAAAGTGCAATCTAACAGTCACTTTTCTTTTTCTTTTGTGTGGCTGTCCTTAAAGAGCACATGACTTGGCCCCGGAAGATCATCAGATCATTCTCTACGTATCACTGCAGCTGGCTCTTGTCAGACAGGTATGTGCAAAAATTGGCAGCCACTGAGTCATTAGAGGGTGAGGGAATGACAGTCAAATTGAGCAAGACCCAGCTATGCTGAACAGGGTCTCTTCCTTTCTGCATGTAATTGGTAGCAATTAGAATATGTTCGTGGAAGATTTTTATTTAAAGCAGTAATTCCGCAGCACATGTGGCCCCCATGGAGAAGGGCCTTCCCCAGGGTGTACGTTCAGCTCTGGCTCCTGAGCACGGTTGCTCCCACTTTGAGCAATTTTGTCAGGGTAGGGTGACTGAGAGCTGTTTGTTCTTGTTCGCCGGGTATCATGCTGTATCCTGTTGTGGGCCTCTCCCAAGGCTCTCTTGATACTCTGCAGCACTGTATCACACCAGATCTCACGTTATCCGCATTTGGGATTGGTGTATTCCATACTTGGGCGTGTTTGGTGTTAGGTGCTGGAACTGCCCAGGGAGTGGGATTACTTGGCATTTGAATGTTGCTGCAGTTGGTAAGTCATAAAAAATAAACTGATTTGTAAACACACTGCGCTTCCTTTAAGAAGAAATTTAGGCTGTGTTTTATTTCTGTGTTCCTTCCTTCTAAAAGCTAGACTTTGTTAGATCAGCCCCTATTTATTAACTGCTTCTCTAGCAAGACTTGAAATTTCATCGTCATCTTTGGCAAGCTTTCTGCTCACTGCAGTTTTCTCTCCTTAATCTACACCACAGAGTCAAACAGTTGGATCCTTCTTACTTTCCTGAGCTAATTAGGGGAGCTGTTTGTTCATTAGGCTAAACTAATTGTTCCAGGAGAGCACACTCTTGATAATGTCACTTTTCTAACCCTTTCATAATTAGAGCAGTGTGTTGTGAGGAAGCCTGCAGTAAGAAAGGATAATTAAAATGGCTTATTTAACTTTGTCATCAGCCTACTGGCTGGTTTATGATGCAGTGTGCTCAGAGTCTTTCATTAAAAATGTCCAGCTACCCCTCTTTCTTTCATAGCTTTCGCTTCTTTTGCTCCTTGCCATGAACAAAAGCATTACAGCTTTTTGACTGCTACTCTAAAAGTAAAACAAAGATTTTTGTAGTCATCGCTTCTTTCTCCTTTTCACTGTCATTGGTCCATTGCATTTTAATTCATTGTCCTTTCTTTTTCTCCAGTTGTTGCCTGTCTTAACAGTGTTGTTTCATGTCTCATTTCATCATTTCCCTCCCTCCTGTTCTTTTCATTCAGTCTCTTGTCTTCATGTTCACTTTTTCTTTGTCTCCTATCTCACCTGTATATTTTCATCCTTGACATTATGCCACTTGCCCCTGCTTCTTTAGATGTGTGAACTCGTGAGTGCTGTGCAGAGTCAGTCTGACTCTATGCTGCTCCTCCTCTTCTCCATCTAGTGAGATATAAATCTTTAACGTGCGCTTGGAGAGAGAGGAGATACCTGAGACATCTTTACTTTTAGACTGCTGTAAAATATCCTACCCTTCTTTTGCCAGTTGAGTTAATGATAAACATTTGGTAATGCATTTTTAATATCCTTAATTATTTAAAGCATCAAACATATTCTCTTTCTGATTAACTGAAAGAGAATATGATGCTTTTTTTTATTTGATATGTTGCATTAACTACTGAATGGCACAGTTAGGGCTTTCATCAGGCTGTGCAGCAGTACTAACAAATCAGGCCATTTCTATGCAGTAGGCTATAATATAATACCTGAATGCTCTTCTCAACAATAGGCCTTTTTGTTTCCATAGTCAAGGTCAACAGATGAGGTACCTTACCCAACACTGCAAAATCTAGGTATCGGCTTGCACAGATAAGAGAGCGTTTTCACAGAACGAAGCAAGAGAGGCAGCTGGCCAGTAGTGTGCCAAGCAGAGCACCTCTTTGAGCAATTCTTCATTCTTGGAAGACTCCGTGAAATATTTCCAATAGCACTTGTCTCTGTCAACACTGGGCAAGGGAGAGGGGGGGATGAAAAAGCATAAGCTTTCCTCTGACACGTGACAAGAACAAGAGGAGAAGAGGGATGGATGATTATAAAAGGTTTTCCCAGGGTAATGGCTGAAATACTATCAGCAACCAAAATGAGGGATGATGGTGTTATACTAGGTGCTTGTGTTTGTGTGTGTGGTTCTATGTCTGAAAGACTGCAGAAGTTGCTGGAAGGACTCCGGTGACTCCCAGAGGGCCTGGGTCAGTCCCACAGCATTTTAGAGCAAATTTTACACCAAAATACAGAGGAGCGTAAAAGACCCTCTTCTGTAAGGAGAATCTCATTCTTTTTTTTTCTCCCAAAGTTGGAATGCCATCAGGTCAAGGTCAGTGTCTGCTGTGGTGGTTCTCTACACCTGGCAGCCAGCAAAGCTGATTGACAAATGAGACTTCAAACTCCTGGCTGCTAGTTCTGCTGCTTCTCCTGTTTCTGTGGTAACAGCATTTAGATCAGCAAAAACAAGGTAGAATGAACATTTTAAAGCTCAGTGCTTTTAATGTCTTTCCTTGTTTTTTAGCAGGCCATTTTCTATAGAAATGACTCTAGAGAGTTTGACCTTGAATGCCATGTAAACCGGTATCAGATACGTGAAAACAACATACGAGTTTTCTTACCATTTTAAAACTTTTGTCAATGTTGTTTGATTTGATTTGACCTTTCTTTGCATGAAAATAGGAGGGGAAAGGCAGCCAGAGGCCAGCAGCTGAGAATTAGAGGTCTCACTTACCAATTTCATCTGTGGGCTGTCAACAGACCTGAAGTTTCAAGTGGCAATGTCCAAAAAACACCTACTGTTCTTCCAGAGTGCCTGGATGTAAAAATAAGATAAACATTGGTTAAGAACACTAGAGAAAATGTTTCACCTTTTTTCTCCATGGTTTTTATTCTGGTTGCAAGGCGGAGAGACTACTATCTTTTCTTTGCCCCAAGAGAGGAACTTGATTTTAGTATACATCACGATGTGATTCTTTCAGTGACTGCTGAACGTGGATAGTTCTGTTTTGTGTTTCTTCCAGACCAACTAGTCCCTCTTCTGCTGAACATCAACACGCTGCTTTTCTGTCTAGGTCCTGGCCTAGATTTTTCTCATGATCAAAAGCAACTTGTACTAGGAATTAAATAAGAACATAAGTCACAAAAATGTCAGGGTTTGCTTTCCTGAAGTTCTGATGGTGTGTTGCAAGTCTATTTCTGATGGGAAGTTTTGCCAGTCAATAAAACTTTCTCCTTTCTACAATGCCCATGCTATAATGAGAGGTGGAGGGGATCACTTTAATAGTTTTTTTTTTTTTTTTTTTTTTTTACTGGTAACTCACAACGGATATGAAATTTTGCTGGACTGAGCCATGCAGAATTAAAAGCTTGAAAACTCATCTGAATTCACTGCTATGAAATATTATTTCATTTACTCTTTTAAATTTGCAAATGCATTCTACTATTTTGATTTTTTTTTTTTTAACGCTCATACAGTTTTTCTCTTTACATTTACGAAGGCAACATCCCAGCATTGTTGGTAAGAAAACATATGGCATTGTCAGAATAATTTCTATTATAAGAGGCAACATCCCAAACAATCCATAGTTTGCCATTATTTTGGTAATGCTGCGAGATGCTATCTGTAGTTTATTGTAATATCTCTACTTCTTAATCAGTGTGATTTGAATAATATACCTGTGTGGCATGCAGAACATTTGTGGTATATTCATTAACCAAAAGATGAATCGGAGAGGGTAGCATCTTCTCATTGTAGGCCCCGTAGGATTTGTGGTCCAGCTGAAATAAAATTACTTTAAAGCGCAGCGCTTGTAGGGAATTTAAGCTGGCAGCCTATCTCTGATACAACCCTGAAGTTTCAAAGTACCATCTGGGCTGCCAGCATCCATCTTTCTCATGTTACATAGATACTTAAATAAATAAACTGTGGCAATAGATTGTTGATCTCTGCTTTTCAAAAGAAGTTTGCATTGACTGCTGCCAAATATCTTGCTTTTGTTGTTCTAGAAATTCAGTTTTTGTTTTGTTTCATCTGATCTGTTGCAGGCTGATTTATATAATGCTTCCAGTAAAGGGATAGAATCCCTTGATATTATTAAAGGGTATCTTTTCTCATCTGTATTTTGTCCTCTGTTTCTAATTATGCAGCAGGAGGAGAACTCTGTGTAGGCTACTAATGGTGTTACAGCACTGAGGAGTCTTTCTGGGCTCCAGTTAAGCAGTCAAGTGTCAGGGAAGAGTGATTAACTTCCAAAAACAGTCATTACTTGTGACTCTGATAATTCGATGGTACTAGAATGGAAGAGTTGTCTCCCAGAACTGAAAGGAGATGTAACTATTGAAAGCCTTGTGCTACAGTACAGGGAAAAATTAGTTTGGACTACATTTGTTTCAACAGCATATGACTGTCTACTTAGTAAGGCAGAGTTTGCACGTTTGCATGCAAGTCAGGTCAAGTATCCTTACAATTTCTAGATCCTGCGGTAAAGGCACCGTTGCAAATATTACTTTTCCATTGGATTTATACTAGCAAATTAGGATTATCTTTCCACATCTTTGAATCGTAGCATAGTTGAGGTTGGAAGGGACCTCTGGAAATCATTTGGTCTAACTCCTGCCTAAAGCAGGGTCAGCTAGAGCGGGCTGCTTAGGGCCCTGTCCAGTTGCTTGCTTTATAGATTTTCTTTTTATTCTAATAAACTTGCTTTTCCCCCAAACTTGGAATTTCTTAGTGACCAGTCGTGCAAGTCTGAGAAGGTGGAAGTAAATAGAAAAACTGAGAAGTGTTTGTAATGTTAATATGGAGGGTAATAAGGGCCTTGATAGCAGCTTTGTTCTAGCAAGTCTAGTTCATGCACCTCTGGTATGCTTACAAAGAACTTCATGGACTGGCACCTCTGGGCCCCCAACAGTCTTGTGTGTATTGTCCTGATTCTGAGTTGTCTTGTCGATGCTTATGTTTTTAACACAGGTATAAAAGTACAGAAAGTATCCTCGGAAGTTGCTGAGGGACGGTGATCTAAGCCAATGTGCTTACTTTACCCTCTCAGTAGAGTATAAAAACATGTGCAGTTGGTTCAAGGTAGCTCAGCTGACAAGCGGTAATTCATTAAAGCTGAGAACTCAGTCACATATCCTAACCTAAACTTAGGCCAGGACATCCTGCAGTTTTAACGCTATGGGCTAGATATCAGCCTGGGGTTAATCTGTGGGTCAGTCACATCTATCTCCAGACTTAGACGGAGACAGCAGGAACAGTGTAATTAAGTATCGTGGTATGAGCGTGCACAATAAGAGTTAAAAATCACTTGGATATGAGGATGAAATTGTCCCATGAGCAGGATGTAGACTACACTCGCAGAAGTATACCTGGAATCTAGATAATCAGCAAACTCCATTGTTTCTCCTCTTTGCAGTTTGCAATCCTTTTTCCAGAGCGATCTGTGGAAGCCCTGGGAATTCCACATTGGTAGATTGCCAAGACAGGAGAACGTCTGCAGAGGAGAGTTTCGCTAGGTGGGAAGTTCTCATAGCAGAAAAGAAGGAACTGCATTTTGTACCCTGTAGAGAAGGAGGGGGCAGGAGATACGAGGGGAAAAAAGAAAATTACACACTTTTTTTGTTTCGTTTGCTTCAGAATTCCAGGGTCAAACACAGATCTGGAATATTTTAAGTAAGACTAATTTCAGACACTAGAGGATCTTAAAAAGAAAATTCTCCATGTAAAACTTAATGGTAACCAAAGGAAAAAAAATGTACTAAGAACTTCCCTTTTGAATAGATGGCCTAAATTAGGCTATCAGATCACAGAGAGCGTGTGATATATTTGCATTCGTTATAGATGTTAAGTTTTCTGCCAAGTGGGACTTGATTCTAATGACATACTGCTGCCTTGAGTATCAGGACTGTTCTTAAGCCAGCTGCTAGCAAAGATGTTTCTCTTTCTGACAGCATTCTGAATCCTGACTCTTTTACACTTTAACATTCATACTTAGTTTTTATTGTATTGATCCAAATCATGAAAGGCCCTGTAAAGCTATCACAAGACACAAAATGCAGCGGAAATGTGTATGGTTGTCACCCAGATGAAGAGGCAGCCGCCTATCCTAGAAAATGGAGTTGAGAACTGGGCCTGTGTAGTGGATCTATTTACAGCATAGAAGCACCATGTCAAAGAAAGAGGGGGATGAAGGGATCAGGTCTGCTGCTCTTGTTCGTAAGCTGTGATTTGTTAATGCTGCAGACTCCTTTCTTTAGAACGTGTGTGTTTTTTCAAGCAATGCAGCCTTTTAATTTTGGCAAACCATTCAAATGCTAACAGAATTCTTTCCCATAAGGTGCCTAAGTAAGATTTCTTCAGAATTTCTATTAACTGTATTTTTTCTTACCTTTGGGAATGAGATCTGATGTAGGATTGAAAGAAGAATGATTCTTTCTTTTTATTTCTTCCCCTTCTTCTCCCAGATTTCTGATGCTATAGAACATCTTCAGGAAGCCTTGAAACTATGCAAAGATGACATGAATTCACTTCATTTGTTGGCCCTCCTCTTTTCAGCTCAGAAACACTATCAGCATGCACTGGATGTCATCAGTATGGCTGTTGCTGAATACCCAGAAAGCTTTAGGTAAGAGTTATTACACTTTTTTTTTTATATGACTTGATACATCCAGTCAGGAACGATCTGTTCGTTAGTTCTGTTGTCCTCGGTTGTACACAGGGAGCGTGATGAACCAAGTGCGTTGCCGGTATGTTGCTCCGCTCCTAGGTGGACTTTAAAACTAAAACGTGTTGAGAGTCTTTTGTTTTCTGTCTTCATAGTCTTTCTGTTTTTAAAATTAATCGTTCTGCTTGTTTCCAGTCTTTCTGTACTGTGCTGATGGTTTTTCTTCTATATATATATGTATCTCCCTGTACTTTTTTGTATGTCACTTTACACATGTGAAAAAATGAGGATGGGGCAACTGTGGTGATGTCTGTCTTTATCACAAATCATTTTACACTTTGGAAAACTTCCTGGTTAAAGAGAAACTAATTGTTTGTGTTTTGATCGTTCCTTTGATGCTCATATATTATACAATTTGCTATGATAGCACAGCTGGGGAGAAAGATCTATCAAAAATCACATACTGTAATGTATAGCTGAAAAGATGGTTTGGTTGTTTAAGACTAGATTTGAACCGGCATAGACTTCTTGGAGCTAGAGGTTTCCATTGTTCTGTGCGTTTGATTCTGTCCTTCATCCGAGGGGGTTAAATTCAATTCCTTGCAATTTACTGTCGTGATCTTTCAAAACGGTGACTCTTGTCTATCGTGCAGAAACATTAAAGTTACTGTAATGTTTTCTGATGATTGCATACTAGCTGAGTTTCTCGGTCAAACTGCAGAAGATGCTGTTGCATCGCTGAATGCCCGGCTTACCTTCAGAATTGCCTGTGTTCAACCAAAAGTTTTAAACTGTGTAACACTCTTCAGATAGCTTGTTTTCTCTGTGTGTCAGTGGAGAGAGGGAGCGGTATTATCCTGAGGGGTAATCCGGAAGCTGCGTGAGAAGTCGTCTAGACCTAAGCAAAAGGAAGGTCCTAAGCGAGATTAAGACTGAATGTGAGCTTGAATACTTTATGAATCTTCTAGGACTGTGGTGCTATATCAGCATAAAATGCTTTCCCTTGTAAGCTGCCTGTTGCCATTTGAAATTGCACTCCTGCCTGTGCCTCTGAAGGTTGCTTACTTTGTGAATGTGAATAGCTAAGACTTTCCTTAGTGAAGGAAAAGCTCTTAAAATGATGTTCTTCTGCCAGCACCAGTTCGGTACGTGAACATGGGTGTGACTGAGAGGGAACACTCCAGTGGCTGCTTTGCTGTGTTTTGTAGTTTGAAGACAATAACTGTAGTAGTAAAAGACCTCACACCGTACAGTTAAAGGTCAGATGTTCCTTGGGACTACAGACACTCAAGGATAGATAAGACACAGGTAGAAGAAGAAAATGGTTGTTTCTGTGAGGAACAGAGTATTTGCCATGTCAGATCAACCAACTGGTACATCAAGTTCAGGATTTTTCCTCCAGCACCGCACAATAATTTATGCTTCGAGGTAGGACAAAACAAACAAAGAAAAGAGTGTATGAAGGCAGCTGGGAGGGCTGCTCTGTGGGTTTCTTTGAGGTGTCTGGCAATCTGATTTCCCTGAAGCAGGAAATAATATTTTCTCCTGTGCTTCTCCCAGTGCCATTCTTTGTGTATGGAGAGACCTGGCAAGGAATAGCAAAATATGTTGTTTCTGGGAGAAGCAGATTAATACTGGTATTGAAACCACAGGTTCATGCTTGCTCCTAGATGCATCACAGACATGCTACAATGTGTGCTCTTGGAAGTACCCCTCTTTTGATTCCTGCATGAGCTGTGATATGAGATGTGCCACAGCTGGCAACGAGACTTGTCTACAGGTGGACAGTGACTGACACAGGAGTCTGGCTTCTTGCCTCTGCTGCTCTGGCTAGCCTGTGTCAGCATGGGACTTTCCCTAAACTAGGCAGCAAATGACTGATGAATGAGGGAGAGGAGAAAGGATATCGAGTTACAAGACAGAAAAAAGGAAGAACGACTAAAGAAAATGAAGAACAGGAATCCAGTGATTGGGGGGGGGGGGGGGGGGGAATAAAAGGAAGCAGAGAATATCTGTTGTTTGGATCAAATTTGAAACGGTTCCAGACTTTCTAGAGGTCTAAAGTGCAGTTTATGCTGGGGGGGGCTTTAATGCTTTGTAAAACTTATCTGAAGGGAGAGATGTGATGCTGTTGTGTATTCCCAGTTATAACTGCCTTAAAGAAAAATTGCAGTAAATTTTTCTGTTGCATGGAATGACTACAGAATACTTCACAAAATAGTATAGGCGAGTTCAACTGCAAGTTTTTAAAGCTCTATTTAAAAGTGGTTGACCATTTTTCCAAATGCCTATTGATATGAACCGGGCAACCGTGTCATGTGGTGCCTGGGGTCTCCTTTCCTAATGACAGCTCTGTTTGGAAGTATAGTTTGATGGAAGGTATCAAGACAGGAAGATGAAAGCTGCATTATGGGACCTCAGGCCTCTGTAGATAGCAAAAAAACATGAGTATAACCTGGATATGTATTCTAAACAAGCAAAAGAATAATGCATAAAAAATTAGGGTCTTAGTTGGCCTGAACTACTGCTCTTACTGCTTCCCTGGTCTCTAGTTGTATGTAATTAAGCTGAGTTTGTTCCTGCTTTTTTATTCTCATATTAAATTCTTTCATATATATTTTAAACAAAGAATCATTCAGGATGTCACAGACTCGGTTAATGGATCAAACAACTAGGAAAATAGGCTGCATTGTTCAGTTAGCATGCAATGTCCTTTCGTGTGAGCCCCATAACACGGACCTAAAGGTGCCAGAGGTGCCCCTCGTGGGAATGTTTACGTTTGTGCATATACTTTGCAGTTCAGTGGTCTGTGTGGTGCATAGTAAGGGGGGATAGGAAAAGTGCGTACTGAAGACAGAGATGGCCTGGAATGTTTTGAATCTAGGTTTTGGAGAAGAATGTTGAAGGACAACTGGATGTGCAAAAGCACAGGTCATTCAGAAAAATGAAGTTAGAAAAAGCGTATCTGTTCAAAAAGCTACATGTGATAACGAATGCGTTACATTGCAGTCAGCAAATGACTTAATATGAGCACTTGCATGTACTGGCAAGCACAGACAGAGGAAGACTGGATAGAGGAAGAATGAGATCTTGCAAGGTTTCCAACATAGCTAGCTGGAGCGAACCAGAAGAAATACACTACCTGGCCGTGACTATAAAAGATAGAAGTAATAACAACCTTCACATGGGAGATATCATCTGAAAAAGTGCTGACTCCTATAGAAGTAGAGTGTCCAGGATAAAATTTAGTGTTTTTATATCTTCCCAACATTGGTAAGCTGGTACAATAAGTTAATGGGTGCAGATCCTCCAGTTGCTTTTGCTTTATTCCTCGCGGCATTATCACAGGCATATCTGGATAGAAACATATAAAAATGTTTGGGCTTGGAAGCCTGTTACATTTAAGACCTAATAAGCAGAGCTTTTTTGAATTATTTGGAAGAGAAGACTCCTGATAGTTTAAGGTATCTCCCCTCTAGGTAAAAGGTGCTCATCATAAGCCTTTCTTAAAGCGGAGTCCTTTGCTTTTTCCAACTCCCAGGCCAGGCTTTGGACAGTGTTTTACCTAGGACCAGCTGTGATTGTCTCTCCACATTTGTCTCAGAGAGAAATTTATCTGAAAGCAATAATGTTAGCAAGCGCCCCCTTTACCCTCCAAACAGTCGTCTTTAAAGTAGTGCATTGTTTATTTAGAATGAAAGTATTTCCATTTGTAAAGCCTATATTCACTTCTCACTTACAAGATGATCCATGCAGAAGTCCCGTAGGTCGAACATCCTGTAGAACCCACCGCAGAGGCTGGGTGGCGCGGTCCGTCCTTCAGCTGGGGATACTTTGTTTTGCTAAGGTAAAATTGACTTTGTCCTTCTGATTTCCCCCTCTTTTCAGAGGTTGTTTGGCTTTCCGATCACCTTTTGGCTCGTAAATTGGTTAGTTCCCAGCATTGGAGAAAGAAAGGTTTGTACCTCGTTTGAGGTTGGAGATAGGATATCAAGTTTACAGATACTGTGTTGCTTTATAATTGTTCCCAGACGGCTTATCAGAACCAATTCCATTGTCTCCCAGCTTGTTTTTTCTCTCCTGTATGCCCCCCTGTTAAGTTAGAGCAATACATTTCTAGGACCTAACAACTTACGACAGCAGAGCAACTTCAAATCACTGCCCAAAGTGACGATGAAAGTTTCGTTAAATTATCACATCTTTGTATCTATAGCACTTCTGCGTCTGGCACAGGAGTTATAGCTCTTTTAAATGAATAACTGCTAATACTCCTTCCTCTGCCTGAACTATTAGTCACTGATTTGTTGGTTTCCATTTCTCAAAATTAGTTTTAAAGAGAAACAGCAGAAAACTTTCAGGAAGCACTGCTATTCCATACATAAATACTCAAAAAGAGGCGGGTGGATTGGTGTTTCAGAGCAAAGTAGCTGTCAAATACAGATTCTTTTCTTTTACTGATATTTGCTATTCCAAAAGTAATTACTGTAAATGCAGTGCAAAACACTCAGAAGGCCAAGAAATATTAAATGTGTATCTTGGAGACCATCAATAAAAAGGAAGTAAATTTTGCATGAAGTATGCATTGTATAGTACAGTGTGCATTTTGTATGCACTGTATAGTAGTGCCGTTGCTGCTGTTTTAGCAGAAAGCTTTTTTGCCCTCAACTAACCCTCAAAGTACAAAGCCTCCTTCTAGATTAGGAGAGGTTCACTGACAGCGGATGTCCTTGGCTTTGTCACTACTACATTAATTTTATTAAGGACAGGTGAAGTAATGTTCTGGCAAAATTTATTTGTCATAGTCTGGTGCAGACTGTTACTGTGGGGAGAACTATTTTATAGTATATAAGCAATGTCATTTATCAGCTGCTTCTACTCATTATCCCCCCCCCCCCCCCCACCCCCCCCCCCAAAAAAAAAAAAAGTAAAAGCAGGATCTCAAAATGCCTGATTAAACTGGC